AGGACCATGCATAACCGGGTCAAGTACATACCAAATATAGTTACGGGCTTAGACACTAATCCAACAGTTTTGTGCATGTGTGTATGAGGTTTACCACAAACAATATTTACACAAACCTATTCCACGTGATATTGAGAGATTATATTTGGCACATGAAGAGAGACATTGATTTCTGGGTATGCTTGGTAGTCTAAATTGTACGCATGTCGCTTGGGAAAAATGTCCAACTTCATAGCGCGGTCAATTCACTCGAGGTGATATAGGTGAGCCAAGTATAATACTAGAAGCTGTTGCATATCAGGATTTGTGGATATGGAATTTGTTCTTTGGAGTTGCGGGGCCTAACAATGACATTAATGTTCTTGGTCAGTCTCATTTTTTCAATGATCTTTGGACCAACAAAGCACCTGATATGTCGTTCATGGTGAACGGGCATTTGTACAAATACAGTTACTACCTTTATCATGAGATATACTCTAATTATTCTACATTTATGAAGGCATACTCGGTTCCTCAAAGTGAGAAGAAAAAGTTGTTCACAAAAGGTAGGAATCAATGAGAAAGGATATCGAGAGTGCATTTGGAGTCATCAAGCAGACATGACATGTATGCAAATACGCTATACGACTTTGGGATAATGATAGAATTAAACGAATGATCCAAGCATGTATTATAATGCATAATATGATCATTGAAGATGAAGGTTGAGCGATTTGCAAGTATGATCCGGACGATGTATTCGTCCCGATTGAAAAGTTTGTACCAAGAACGACTAAATTTTTAGCACAAGTTTTTGAAATTCATAATAGTGAAACGTATTTCAATATTCGAGAAGATGTCGCGGAGCATTTATACAAACTAAACATAAACAAATATTAGTTTCTTTTATGTTTTGAAATTTTTACGTTTATTTTTTTATTCTAGTTTTTTTAAGTAATGTTGTTTCTTTTATCCTCGCCATCGGTCGCTACCCATTTGGAACACCGCCCCCTAGTGGTCGCTAGGGGGCTCTCCATGTTTGCCTCGTTGAAGACTTGACGAGATGAGAGATAATGTTTGCATGGCTTGTGATTGGATGAAGGTGGCTCACCATGTTTGACCGGATTGCTTTCTTTAACTCAATTAATAAATATCAGCTTTTGATTTTTTTTTTGAACGACACCAGCTTTTGAATTGAGATAGTAAATTAGTTACCAGCTTTTAATTAAGATAATTAAGATGTAATAAATTTCTTACCAACTTACATTTAAAAAAAACCTTTTTAATATATATATATATATATATATATATATATATATATATATTCAACTAATATAAATTAAACCACATTCTCAACAATTTACACACATAAAATATAGTAATTAAATTAAAGTAGAAAAAAGAAAATAAAAAAAAATTGAGTACTAGGAGTGTTACTACTCCTTACCAAATGTCATGTTTAGGTGTTAAAATGAGAAAAATGATGTGGCATTTAAAATGCTGATGTGCCAAGGTGCTAAGAGTGTCATCACTCCGTTAGCCATATACTCTCTCCGTCCCAAAATTACAGTCCATCTTTCCTTTTTGGTTTGTCCCAAAATAATAGTCCACTTCTAAAAATAAATAACATTTTTACCAAAATACTCATTCGTTATTACTTAACCAACTAAGCATTTAATGGAACATTAAATGCAAAATAAGAACAAAACTGTTATTTTATTAAATAAAGTTAATGATAATTAATGATTTTCTTTTTTTATCGGTTTACATTAATATTACTTCTTCTTTTGTTATTGTACAAAAAATACAGGCGTCCCATCCGCCAGTCTTTTCACCATCAAACAAGTCTGCAGCTCTTTTTTGAACCACCGGATACCCGAGTTTGCTCTCGAAGCCTGTTCCCACCTCCCTCCACCGTTAACCACCTCCAGCCGCTGGAATTTCTAACTCATCGGTCCCTTTCCGCACATTTTTGACTCTCGATTTCTCGTTTAGCGTCCCTATACAGTCACACTAATCTCACAGAAGGCAACAAGAAGAATCTGTCACTCACAGATGGGCGATGGCCAACAAAGATCCTAATAGATCCACCAATACGTTTTCAAAATGGACTTGTCAAATGCAAAGAAAGTTTGTCTCTGTTAAACCAGAGGAATCAGAACTTGAACCCATGAAGAATTCAAGTAAAAGAAGGACAGCTTCAGTCAACATAAGAAGCAATGAGTCGCCGAAACTCTCCCCATCTGTTGATCAAACTGTAGGAATGTGGAGGGAGAATAATGTGGGACCCGAGGCAAAAGAGTTGTTGGAGGCTATCGAGCGACAATACCCCGACACATTTCAAGGGCTACAAATTCGTGGGAAATCAGTCTGGCTGAACATGTTGAAAGAATTCCATATGGTTATAAAAAGATTTATGGAAACATCGGTGGATGCAATGTTGGAGGAGGATATAACCAGTCTTCAAGAAGATCTCAACATGTTTCAGGGGTTTGGATTTGATCTTTCGTGGGCTTTCAAGAGGCTAAACATGGTGAATAGGCTCAAGTTTGGAAACGAGCCATTGCAAAAAGAGTTGATAGCTTTAGAAGGATCGTTGGAGCCATTACAGGTAAGGATCAGGTTGAGATGGAAGCAGTTGATGGAAGCGCATGAAATGTGGAATAAGGCGCAATTCGAGTATGATAATGCTGCAAAAGCTCGAGATAAGAAAGTAGAGGAAATGGTGGAGGAGTTTGGAGCTGAATATGATCGAGTATTGAAGGCTCATCTTGGGTTCGGTATGTTACCAGGGTACTGATTAACTTTCTTTCATTCGCCAAAATTGTTTAAAATCATGTACAAAATTATGGATTTTCTTTAGTGATGATATATATAACTTAAATAGTAGAAACAATGGCTGATAAAACTTATGTGGGTTTGACAAATTGTAGTTTGTAGGCCAAACAAGTTGGCCACAATGGACTCAGTATTTGGCTTAACCAAATTTTGATTCAATGACTTGATGAATGATATGAGTAATTCTTGTTGCTCGATTGAAGTTTGACTCTTTTTGTTGTTCTAATCTCCTAATCTGTTACTCATGTATCAATATCTATTCTTTTGGGTCAAATTTGATATTTTTAAGGTTAGAGCACATTATTATTTTTATTTTTTTATTTTTTTGTAAACTTCATTTTGATTGAGTTACATGATAGTTTTGATATTTCCTATTAGCGAAATCTGTCATAACTTAGTTTTGAATATTACATTTAAGTGTTGCGAAAAGAATTTTTAAGAATGTGTGAGTGGATGAACTAAATATTATGAAATAAATAAAATAGTATACTCGTAGTATAAGATTGATTATATATTTTTCTTCCAAGTTAATACATGATTTTGACATGTTAATATTTGCTATATGTATATCTAATTTCTTTGTAAACATGGATGAACTTTATATCTCTTCTGTGTGCCAATCCTGGCACAAAGAAGAAACTGTGAAATTTTGCTCTCTTGTACAATCTAATTTTGGTTGTCAAAATTCATTTTAGGAGTGAAATGAAATAAAAAGGAAGCTAAGAAAATATCAAAGAGAATGAGTTTTCTTTCCCTTCACTTTTCTTCACTTTTCTTCCATTATGCTTCCCTCATCCCATTCCTTCCCTTTTTCCTTGGTTAAAAAACTGGCGAATAAGACATAGATCATAGATGAATTTACCTACATTTCTTTTACTTTTACTAGTATTATTTGTGTTTTATGTTATAAACGATGTAAGACCAAAACGAACAAGAAACATACAACAATGAATGTTGACTATTAATTGATTGGAATAAAATGAGATCAAAACAATAACCACAATCATTAAATTTTAATTCAATACTACAAACATCAAAAAGATGATCACAATATCAAAAGGCTTGCACATAAAGCGCCCAGCCGCCCACGAGATGAGTTTTTTCAAATTTTTTTGGTATTCTTATTTTGTGAATATTTGTCTCCCCTGATGGAAGCCTAGTGGCTTATACTTATGAGCCGGGACGGATGCAAGATTTCATACTAGGTGTGACATTTTTTTACATAGTTGCATATTTTTTTAGACAGTGGCAAAATAGTAGAAAAAAATTCAAAAAATTTTGCACTGCGTACACGGCAGTCAAAGCGTTGTCGGTGCCACTGTAGGACACTATGTGCAACCGCGTATGCGTATGAGGTTCAGGGTCAAAACTTTGGTACATCCAAGATATTTGTAGTCTTCCGCAATTGACCTACCATGGGGGTCCACGGTCCAGTTGATGTAGATCGCTCAAATTGTGTGATTTACCATTTTTTGTATTGTGTAAGCTTTTTTATTGTAAGATTTTTCATTTTTGTTTGCTTAGTTACAACATTTTAGACTAACGGAGTCGAAGTGTGCACCTCATACACTGCGAGGTGCTTAGGTGGCCCTGCAGTTATGCGGTGAACACCACACCGACCAGTGTGCAGTTATGCGGTTAACCGCATCTTTCTCCTTATTTTTTTTTCTTTTAATTCATTATTAAATCAACTGTATTTTTAAAAATTATAAAAAAATATATCAAAATTAATGGTTGTTAATTCCTTATAAATTAACGGTGTGCTTTTTTATTGCAATTTTTTGGTATTTTTGAGTTAGATATATTTTTTTAAATGGTTACTACATTACTAAAATAAAATAAAGTTTTGTCTAAAATAGGATAATAATTAAAGAGAAATTAAATTTTTTTTACTTATTTCTATATAAAATGATAACAAATGTTTTAAAATATTTTTAATTTTATCATGACAATTATCATGATAAGATAAATAGAAATAAAAAATGTTAACATATTTAATTTCTCATTATTAAATTATCATCTAAATAACAAAGTTCTTTTTTTTTTTCTTCAGTGGGGCGTCTTGTTTTCTTTTTATTATCCGAAAGATTATGTCTTTACTGTTTTAGGGTTCAGTAAATAATCCAATTACAGGCCTAGAAGCAATTTAGCCCTAAATCAGATTATCATTTATCAGACCTCACTCCTCTTCAGTCTTTCACTCTCCTTGATTCTTCCCTTTTCACGCAACCATCGTCAATCGACCTACCTCTGGTCCGAATCGCCGTCGGAATCGTCGCATACCTGCTCAGTTCCTCCCTTTTCAGGCAGCCATCTCCTTGTGCTTACAGGTAATAATTTTGCCGAATGCCTTGCTCTTTTATTTAGTATTAGAAATACCATTCCTAGTTTTTGCACTGTTATTTTCATATTTTTGGTGATATTGATTCCTGATTTCAGATGCTTTACACAAATTGTGATATATTTAGAGTATTATTTCTAATGTTTTGATTCCTGATTTCCTGAACACCACAGATTCGGTTATTTTTTAATAATTGCAGTTTTTTCAAGATTTTTTTAAGTTTCGGGGATTTCAATCTGGGTTCGGGCTGTAGGGAAAACTGCAGATTATTAACATAAATGTAAAATGACCTATCTATGTTTGGAAGTGATGATTGATACAAATGTAAAATGACATATTTATCCTTACCTATAGAGTAGAGTATAGAGACATGAACAAGAAGGAGGTATTCAAACTAGCGAAAGGTTTCCGGGGAAGGGCAAAGAATTGTATCCGGATAGCTAGAGAAAGGGTAGAAAAGGCACTTCAGTATTCTTATCGAGATCGTAGGAACAAGAAACGTGACATGCGTTCCCTTTGGATTGAACGCATCAATGCTGGCACTCGCGTCCATGGTGTATGTTACCTCTATCCTTTTGTATGGAAGAAATACCAATGATTTGTTTATTACTTTACTTTATTTCTATTACAACATTGTATGTTGAAAAATCTACATAAGTATATACCAATATTATCTAACTTCAATGTATGTCACTCATTTTCTCAAATATTGCACAGGTGAATTATGGTAACTTTATGCATGGACTAATCAAAGAAAACATCCAAATTAATCGAAAGGTTTTGTCAGAGCTGTCTATGCACGAACCGTATAGTTTCAAGGCTCTCGTTGATGTTTCTCGCACAGCTTTCTCTGGAAACCGCCCACTCTCAACCACAACAAAGAAGGAAGGCCTTGCAATTCTAGTATGATTTTTTTTTCCAACAACTTGTAGTCAATAATGCTTTAGAGTTCTAACTTTTCATCATTATGGCATTTACGGGGAACATTTTTTTTTTTTTTTAAATCAAAAACGTTATACTTATACCCCAACTGTATCTGGTGTTGACATGGTGCCTTTCTGCCAAGAGATTGGGGGTTCAAATCCTGTGTGGGATAGTTGTGTAATTTAGAAGTAGACTGCAGAGTGTGGTAATCTTTCTATCTTACAAAAATTCTACAAAAATATATTTATTACTTTAATAGAGTAGATTTTTATAACATAGTTGGTAAATGAACTTTTTAGAAAATTCTATATAAGTGGACAAGAAATTAATACTCGCTCTGCCTGGTCAGCCAAAAAACTTACAAAGTTCTGAATTCTGATGTTGTGTGTAAATACCACCATAAGAAGTTTGTATTAGCTCATAGCTGTATGTGGATATTCGATACTATACAAGATTAGTAACTCAACTTTTCAATGATTAAACTCAATACACTTCTTTCGTTTTTTCAAAATATGTAAGTTGTATACATAATTGGTCGTGAATGTAGATTTAACTATTTTTTAGTACGATAAAAAATGTAAGAGTCCAGGCAATAGGAATATGTTTGATAGTTTATGATCTTTCTAAAAATAATACTATCATATACCTATTCTTTTTAGAATACTTATTTTTTACTTCTTGATTACAATAGTTAGTGGTGCTATCCAATGGTGGCAAGGAGAAAAATTCTCCTCTAGTCTTTTGGTCGTAAAGTCTTCATCTCTAGTCTGTTGAACTGTTAAATTTTACAAATAGAGGGTTAGAGACTACGAGGCGTATTTTTCACATGACGTTTTTTAAAAGGAAGTTAAATGATTATTAAGCAATATAATCAATTTTTTTAAAAGTGTTTCATAAAGAAGAGCTGAAAACTTAGGTTGCGTTTAGTTACGGAAAAACAATTTTCATTTTCCGTTTTTCGTTTTCCCTTTTCGTTTTTTGCTTTTTGTTTTCAGTTTTCATTGGAAAATTTAGAAAATGCGTTTAGTTAAAACTTATTTATTTTTTATTTTCAGTTTTAGAAAATTAGAAAACGTGTTTAGATGTGTATATTTCTATTGGTTTCATTTTTAGAAAACGGTAGCGGTGGTAGGGTGGGGGTGGGGCAGCGGCGGGGGGTAGTGGTGGTGG